ACTCTTTCCAATTTGTCCACATCTTTCTTGAAGTGTGGTGCTCAAAGCTGAACACAGAACTCCAGATAAAGCCCTGCTAGTGCTGAATAGAGTGGAAGAACCACTTACTGTGACGTGAATGGGACATTCCTGTTAATATGTCCCAAAATACTATTACGGTTTTTGTTTTGTTTTGTTAATGCTACACACGAGACTGTCAGCTCATATCCAACTTTCTGGTCACTATAACCCCCTGTCCTTTTTGCAGTACTGAAGCCTACCTAGTGGGCATGTCTACTTATGCATTTATGCTGGCTTAAGTTTACTGCACAGTAAATGGGAATAGGCCAGTGTCTGCCTGGGCAGATGACCTGGGAGTAAATATAGTCAGAGCAGCCTGCCATGTTCCCCTGTGGCCACCGGGGAGAGCTCCAGCCACATGCCCGCCAGTTCCTGGGACTAACTATAGTCCCAAATTGAGGCCAGAGCCGGCTGCCAGCATTTGGAACTAACTTTAGTCCCAAATTGAAATCAGGAGAGGCAGCCAGCCAGGAGCCCTGGGAGGCCCACTAGGTTATGATGCAGGTATCAGATTTAGGCTCAAGTTAGAGTAAGTCACCATATTTATTGCACAGTGTGGGCATGCATGTGTAGATGCATGCCTGTACTGTGCAGTAATTTTGATTACTGTGCAGTAAATGTGAAGTGCATGTGTAAATAAGCCCAGTGATTTGCCAGGTTGTATTATTTGGGAGTACTTTGCACTTGATTTTACTGAATTTCATCCAATTTATTTCAGACCATTTCTTCAATGTATAAAGGTCATTTTCAATCCTAATCATATCCTCCAAAGTGCCTGTCACATCACCTAGCTAGGTATCATATGCAAATTTATTAAGTGTACACTAAACTCCACCCTCCAAATCATTAATGAAAATGTTGAATAGTACCAGCCCGTGGACAGTCCCCTGAGCAACCCCACTGGATACTTCCTTCCAACTTGACATCAAGCCATCAATGACTGTTCTTTGAGTATAATTACTCAACAAGTTATGTGCTTACCTTGCAAAATTGTCATCCAGACTGCATTTCCATAGCTTCCTCTGACAGTGTTGTGGAGGATAGTGTACAAAGCCTGCTAAAGTCAAGGTATATCATATCCACCACTCGTAAGCACAAATCAGTACCTTGGACAGTGGAGAGCTCTTTCCAAATCTTGACCTATCAGTCCTCTCCATCACTGTCAGAGAACCCCATCCAACCTATCAATTTGCCCATATACTTCATATAAGCAAAGACAATGTTGAAAATGTTAAATACATGTTAAATCAGCACTTACGCATCCCTTGGCCCTTCCTGAGAGAGATCAAAGACCTGGCGTGGATTCAAGTACCACATAAACATTTGGAGAACTTTGGTGCCCTGTGAAAAGAGGAAATGGAGGGAACACATAAGAAAGAATGACCTGGCTACAGTATTATAAGTAACTGTACTTATTAAAATTAAGTGAATTCTTAGAGTGCATTTCATTCATTTGTAGCTTAGTAAACATAAACAAACTAAAAGATGCCTGTTTTGGGAAGACTAAACACAAAGCAAGTGTTATGATTGATATTTGCTATATGAAACAGTCCTGGAAGCTATCATCTCACTTGTGTATGTATAAATGCAGACCTACTGAATTTGAAACACGTGTTATATAAAATCTATAGAACATATGCTATGCATCAGGGGTATCAAATCTGTTTGGCTCTCCAGGCTCCTTGTGGGCTGGATCTGTACCCATCTGTAGTGGCAAGGTGAGCATCTGTAGTGGTGGTTGCCTGAGCTGCTCCGTTGCATCAGGCAGCCACAGGGGTTAACACCACCATCACTCACCAGCCCTCCACCACCAAAATAAGTCCCCAAGGGATTATAAGTGGGTTGGTGCTCCTGCTGCCATGCTGGTAGAATTTACTCCTTTTGGAGTCCCTCATCCAGTTCTCATAACACAAAACAATACCCCTTTTTCCAAACAAACTAGTAAATCAGACTCTATCCTTCCTCCAGGTGGCAGAAGAGGACCCTTTAGCTCTGGCCCTTCTTAGACACAAGCTTCATTGGGTTTCAATCTGCTCTATGCCCACAAACTGCTCCTTTCTCCAGCTTGAGCTCCTTGCTTTTCCTTCTCTTGGGCTTTCATCTGCCAGCTAATCACCCACAGCTCGGCTTCTACCCCAGGGCTGTCTGCCTCCTATAAAGGGCCAGACGCCCTGTTACAGAGATCCATACTAAAGATTTTGGCAACAGATTGAATAAGGGCACTGGTTAAATGAACCCCCACTGGGGATCCATACTCATGATTTCACTGGGGTTGACCCACATTAGTGTTATCTCAGGGAGTCATGGTGGTTGCCACTACTGCCCCATACCCAGCTGCTGGAACCCAGCTATTCCGACAGAAAACCCATGGGCCAGATAACACAGGTCCACATGCCTGGCCCTTGTGCTGTATTTTTGACAGCCGTGCTGTAGATGAGAAGGCATTCAATGGACTTTAGATAGACACAGAGGTGACCAATCTAATATGGATTGGATCTGAAAATCTTAGCCATAGGAATTCTAAGAAAGAAGCAGGCTAGAGTCTATATAAACCTGCTGCTTGCTTTAGCTAAACTTGCATTCAGTATACAACTTGATAATGAAGTAAAATGTTTATACAGCAACATTATACTCTGCAACAACTGCTTAAAACAAAGTTTCTTACATACTTAAAATACAAAACCAGCTGGATGTGGTCAGGGTGGTGAAGAAACTAACCATTTCTTAGGATAGAAAGGATGACTGAAGATTTCTTTGGAGGCCCCCTTTCCTATAGAATGTGGAGGTCTCCTAAAATACTCCCATCATTCTAGTTTCCTTACAAAAAATTAAAAACTGGGAGGAAGATTATCTTGAAAAATCCAAGTTTCCTTTTATGTGGAAAGGTTCCAGGCATCTGCTGCAGGAGTCCGTGGTTCAGGTCATATGCAACTCTTCCTTTTCTTTGACCCAACTGAAATCTGTTGATAGATTATTCTTTAACGGTCATTAGAATTAATTTGATGTCCTTACCTGATTCCCTCCACTTTTTGGATTCACAAACACCAACAGTGGTTTCATGAGCGGGGAAGAGATAGGTTTTATCACAAAAGGTCGGCCTTTGTTTTCCTACAAAAACAGCAGTGAAAAAGTGCATTAACTAGAGATATACAGAAGAGCACTAAAATCTCCACCAAAAAGTTCCCACAAAGGATTTTAAATGTGAATTTAGTGGTTATGAAAGCTGCAAAGGTTAATAACCTTGAAAAGTATAGTCTTCTATATAGATCTGTGAACAGCTATATTCCATCATTGTGCCTCAATCCCAGAGGCAACCCCCTGGGCCAGATAACACAGGTCCACATACCAAATCTGGCCCACGTGCTGTATTTTTTACAATCCTGCTGTAGATAACAAGGCATTGAATGGATTTTAGATAGGCACAGAGGTGACCAATCTAATATGGACTGGATCTGAAAATCCATGGTTAGATTTTTCTACCAAATGCAGGTACTTAATATATCTTATGTAAAGACAGTTCACCCTCCCATCTGAAACAGTGTTTGGAATTTATACTGAGATCACCAACAGGAGAGAGAAACTGTTGAGGTGGGCACAAGTTTTTGGACAAAACTTAATTTTTAATTATAAATTGCCATTTGGGTTGACCAAAATAATTCATGAAATTATATTAGATTCTTTTTTAACTGGTATGGCCAAAAGACTGGGAAAAAAAATTAGAAGTTGAATGTTTCATTTTGACTTTTCTAAAATGAAACATTTTGCTTTTTCACTTCAAGGAGACATTTCATTTGGAAACTTACCTCAATTTGACAATTTTTTACAAACAGTAAAAAACCATATAACGTGTTTGTAACAAGTGGGCATCCCAGGGCCGGTCTCAAATGTAGGCCCGCCCACTTGTCCTAGCGCTAAAGACAAGACCACCTGCCCACCTCTCCTGCCATGCCTTGATGTTAATAATTACAAGGATGTTACTCAGGCAGGAGACTGCCCATTTTTCTGCCCTGATGACAAGGGCATATATATATGACTCCGGCCTCCCCTTATTGTATCCCATTCCTGGCAGATGCTTCATGGCCTAACTCCCAGCCCAAGCTTGCTCGACCTAGCACCCAGCCTTCAGCTTGTCTAGCCTGACATGCAGCCTTCAGTCTGGCGGCACACACCTGGCCTTCACATACTTGGCCTCACACACGGCCTCTCTGTTTCTACTACACACTCAAGGGCCTCAGTCCCACTTTGGGCTCCAAGCCCCATCCTTGGGCTTCAAGTCCCTCTCTGGGGCCCAGGCCCCTTCACATTAGGCTCTAAGCCCCTCTCTACAGGACTAGGGCTTCAAGCCCCATCCCCCCTGAAGCCTACCTCCTGGCTTCCTAATGTGGTCTCAGACTCCACTGTGAGCCTGGGCACTGTCACAGGTCCCCCCTCCTGGCCTGGGTCCTGCCTCAGTACTCACAGTAAGCCTGGTCTCTCCCTGAGATGACCAACTATCCACCAGGGATGTGGGGCTGGGGCTAGAAGGCACCCCATACTTGCCTTTCAATGGGGAGGTAACTGGCCTGGCATTTCTGGGGGACTGTCCCACCACAGAGAGTCCCACCAAGCCACCCGTCCCCAGCAAGGTGAAGTTTCTGGTCATGCCCAGGACCATGAGGTCTCCTCCTTGCCTATAGGCCCCAGCCCTTACCTCTGAGTTGTATTGAGCAGCAGCTCAGCTTGTGGTGCCTCTCTGGCTGCTCGCAACCAACTGCTGCTCTGTTGTTTAGGGCCCAGTCCTTATATAACAGTTGGGCCCTGTTCCCCAATCAGGCAGCATTGCCTGATTGGGATAACAGCCAGCTACAGGCTGCCTGCTGCTGCTGCTCAGGTCCCTGCAAGTAAGAGCACCCTATGCGATGTTACAGGGTTCAACTTGAAATTAATTTTCAGATTCTTTTTATTTTACTTAAAACATTTTCATTTTTGGTCAATCAAAAACACTTTTTTTTGTTTTCAGTTGGGTCAGTGAACCAACAAAATCAATGATGTGCCCCAGCATCGCATTCACAAGCCACCTGCTACCTAGAGGTATGTAGAAAAAACATTTAAAGCTGTGTCTATGTCCAAATCGCCGAATCTTTCCAAATCTCTCCAAATCAATTTGGAGGGTTCCAATTTGATTCAGAGAGATTAAAGGGCCCTCTGATCCAATTAGGATTCAGAGATTCAGCCACTGAATAGGGCCAAATCTCCACTGAATCGAGTCAGGGACTGAAGCTTTGCACAGTCCTAATCACATACGTATGCACACACATTCACACACACAAAGAAAAGTAATGTTCATTAATTCTGAATGAGACAGTTGTTCAGCCTCCATCACCAGGAAGTCTTTGTCCTTCCAGTGAAGTATCCAAGAGTGCCTAATTGCAGAAATGGCAGGTTCTATGTTGTGGATACTTGCTCTCTCTCAACTGGAGGCCATGCTAGGATCTACAGAAAGCCACTGGATTTTTACTGACAATCTAGAAAGTATCAATTTATTCTACCTTTCAAGTGTTCCTTATTAAGACTTACCTCATTGCCTCTTTTACTAGCTTTTCTTTTAAAAGATGTTCTCTTCTTCCGTCGAGTCGAAGTCTTTAATGAGTTCTACATAAAAAGAAAAAAAACCCCAAGAATACATTACAAGCAGAACAAAAATTTAAAAATCCACAGAAGTAGCCTTCTTTTAGAAGCTCTTCCATGCATCATCCATTTGAAGAATGATACAGTATCTGGCACATGCTTGAAGTTTAGATCACATGCGTTTCATGCTTTACACTTCCACACCACCGTTTATGGAGAAAGCCACACACGGAGACCAGACTGGTGCTTTGGAACTGGAAACTTTCCCACGCCGTGGGGAGAAAAATCAGATGCTCCCACAGACTCACATAACACCACATGTTGTACCTGCCAACCCTCCCAATAGGGGTAGGAGACGCCCGTTTTCCCTCCGGGGCTCCAGTCTCCCGCCCAATCAGGCTCGTCTCCTGGTATGGAGACCACCTGCATAAAAATGTAATAAAAATATGATAAAATGAGCTATTTTCCATTTAAAAAAAACAAGTTTTAGCTCTGGTGACCATTGACTCAGTATAGCACATGCCACCACTGCATAAAACTGGTGTAATAATCTAACAGGGAACCTCCTCTGGATTCTTAAATATTTAAGAGCCACCTTAGTTCAGGAAAAAAAATACAGAAAATATTTTGGTACTTTGTGTAGGACCTAAAAAAAAATATCCTGCATCATCAATGGCAGTGAACTGAAAAGGAAAAAAATGCTATTCTCCAGAAGGGTGCTAACTTTACTGATAATATTTTATCACAAAGGCATGCTGATGTGAAAAGGACTGGTCAAACTGAAGGGGTTTTTTTTTTTTTTTTTTTTTTTACTGCTGCAGTTGCTGAAATAAAATCCTCCCCCTTCCCTATAACCCCTCTCCATTTACATATTACCAAGTTCAGGTGGGTCAGAAATGTTATGAAAATTAACACACTCACTGTATTTCAACTCTTAATTTAGTCAAAGCCAGACAATAAAGGGTGCAGAAAACTCACAGAACATTCATTAATCTTTTCTAACCTCAAAAAGGAAACAAAATGCATTCAGTGTTGTCCTCAGTCTTTATTTTATCCAAAAAGGTCTCTAGATTCCTACCAAGCAAAGGTTCACAGACTCAGAGACCTGCAAGTCTGTACAGTTCAGCTAATAATCAGTACCTGCTGTTTTTTATTCAACCTTGATCTTCAACCAACAGCATCATTGCTTTAAATAGGACATCTATTGGATTTGGCTAGGAACAGTGTTTGAAACATCAGTGTCAATATGTGAAATAGAAAAGTTAGGAATTCTAGTGAATCTCAGTAATGTGGAAAACTCATAATCTCAGAGAAAGATATCTAACTCAAACTGTCTAAAGTTCAGATTAAGTAGCCCATTTTCTGTTCCTTTTGCCATAAAAAAGTAGTCTTGCTCTGCATTTCCCTTGCTTTGGTACATAAGAAATGCTCTAGAAGGCATGCTACACTACAAGAACTGCACTGACTTGGATGGATCGATGGATTATACAAAGTGCATGGTCTTTTTCATCTCTGCCTATGTAATGAGACTGAAAGAGAATATGAATGTTAAATTAATGTAATAGAGCAAGCCAATGCCCTCATGCCCTAACTACGGTAATTCCTGTAGAGGTTCTTAGACTTGTTCCTCAGACACTGTCTGTTGTTAAAGGGTGCTGGAACAGAGCACTTGTCTGAGCTTCAGGGCATCTGAGTTCTTTTCCATGATCATCACTGGTCTGCTGGGTGTCCTTGGGCAAGATACTAAACTTCTCTGAGCATCAGTTACCCCTCTATAAAATGGAGATACTTACACACAGAAATGTAACAAGAAATGTCAGCGCCCTGAGCAGACATACTGGTGACTGCTGCAAAGCAAGGCAGTTGATTGGGGGATAGTTTAAATATAACAGAATTTTTTGTCTCTGTCCACACAGGCAAGACTATTTGGCACAATGATGCTACACTTCAGTGTTTAAGTATGCCAATTTTTGTCATGTTGATAGAGCCCATAAGTTTGCAGAAACAGTAGCAATACAACAGGTGAGAGGCAGAGAAGCTGACTATACATGTCCAGACCTTCATTTCAAATATATTTAAGAAAAGCAGCTGTGGGTGGACCACCAACATCCATATGGTGAACTTAAGAAGTTATGCATACTGTCTTGTCCATGAAAGGCTTCCTTCCCAACAGGAAGAGTATGGGGATTTTTAAGGAAATAATGCTAGTTAGTGAAATTGTCTTTACAGAAAAGAATTACTTTAAGGAAAGAGGACTATGTAAATCCTGGATCACTTCTAGATGAGGAAAAATCTTCTTCATGGATGTCATTTTTCCCTTCTTCAAAAAGGAGAAGCACAGAACAGAAAAATAAAGTCAATTTTAGAGGTGTTCCAAATAAACTTCGATAGATTTATTGAAAAATCATTTGTGCATGATGTAGGGGAGATGAATGTTTGATTTTCTGAGGCAGATCCAGTAAAATCCCTTTCAATCCTTTCATCTACACTATCCCAGGTTTAATTTTCAGAGGTTCTTTCTTAGTAGCCATAATTTCAATAGTTTCAATGAAAGCTACAAGTGCACAGCATCAATGAAAGTCAAACTCTGTAATCTTCATGTCTTTCAAAAACTATAATCAGATACAAATAGTAGTCTAACTCCATTTGCCACCATCAGCAATGAAGTGAAAGTAGAGAAGACAAAGTAGCCCAAGGATATAAAGCAGACTTCCTTTGAATGTTTCCAAAGAGAAAGGAAAAACAGATTTACTCACCTTGATCATAAGCCCTCCCCCAGCACCAAAGTCTAGTCACAACAGTTACAATTACACTGTCTCCAGATCCTCAGAGGAGGCTGGCTCAAAGAACATCACCCAGACCCCACTCACTGCCAGCTCCTCTCCAGCACAAACACCAAGACTCCATTAGTAGTTTTTAAGCCTTTTCAATGCATCAAATATTAGAAAAGGACACTAGGATCTGTGCAACTGGGACAGGAATATATTTGAACTCCAGGAAACCAGACACAGCATTACATAGTTTCCAGCATAGTGCAGTGGCATTGAATGTTGGTCAAGAGGCTACAAAAGACATTTACATGATGAACACCACACAACGGATGTTTTGACAATTTTCTAATTACATAAGTGGGTCATTACATGTAGGTCTATCACCTGTCTCACAACTATCCAAACCATTCTGAATTTCCTTCATCCTGAAAAAAAAGATACTTGTCAACAGTAAAAATTAATTGCAGAACATTTATCAGGTCATCTGGGTCAAACTGTCCTTAACTGAATCACTAAGACAGTGCAGGAGTGAAAGGGGGAGTTTATACTGTATTCAAGTTTAGTACTTCAACGGTAGTGACCCACTATGCATGTAAACAGCATTGAAAAAACACTTTAGTAGCAGTAAAAACAAAGAAAAAGGAGACATCAAGGTAAAGGTGGCTACAGAAACTCATCTAATTTGCTTGGGGAAAAACAACAAAAGGAATAACAGCATCACTAGAATCCAGTTAAAATGAGTAAGAAATCCAGTTCAGGACTTGCCTATGGCGATCAGTAAGCAGGGATGGGCAAATCATTTATAACTAAAATGTTGCTAATCAAATTTATTCTGCCAAGTCTGGGGAACACTGAAACATTTTTCTCTTATTTTCTAGATCATAGGAAATTAAAAAAATGTTTCAGACAAATCTGGACTGAAACCAAATTTTAAGAAATACAAAATTTCCTAGAAACCAGAAATTCTCCTTTTTGGCCAGCTCCACTCTGGAAATCTTTTCCCTCTGGTGAACCAAGCACTGTCTCATCTTGTTAAAACTATACTGAATTCTGGTTACAACCTTAAAATTTACTGCCTGCAAGCATCAGGACATGTAAAGATAACAGTGGCATTCAGCAAGCATTTGGGTGAATAAAATGTGATGATTCAAACACCCATGGAAATCAAATCCAAGGAACATGAACACAGCAAAGGCTAATTATTTGTTTCAATGCAAAATTGAATGCTTGTGAAAGCACTGTTCAGTGTTTGCCCAGCTTTATTTAATGAAATATGTTTGAGTGCCTAAAACACAGAAGATTCTTCCATTCTGCTGAACTTGTGTAGGAAGAATAACCTTGAACTGGATTGCTTAGTGCCAAAATAACATTAATCACGAATTGTCTCAAAAAGGAAAATGAAGGATCCCCCACTAGGGGAGTCCATGGAAGAGCAGGATGTAGGTTAAGATGTAGCTGGGTGGGAAGGGCATGGTCAGGGCAGACAAACATGCTTTGGTGGAGGACAATCAGGAGCTAAGCCAGGCTTGCCCCAGGTTGCCATACAGCATCAGAAACAGACTTCCGCATGCAGTTACCTGAGGTTTCTTCACCTTAATGATCCAAGTGGGAGGCACAATGACAGCAGCATGAGCCCCCAGGGAACACGGCTCCTCAATGTGGTGTAACATGAAACAGGTGACTTTGTTGTGAAACTATAGTAAGGGAGAGCAGAGCCATTAATGAGATGGATGCAATGCAAGAAAAGGAGGATAGGCAGAAAAGTAGAGGGGACAGGAGAAAAGAGGGAGATGCATGAGACAGTGAGGAACATACCCAGCTCCATCTCCACCATCAGTTTTCTACACCAAGAGCTTTTTAGGAACATTTAACAAATGGCCACCTTTGTTTTTTAACCTTCCCCAAACATGCTCTATACCCCAAACATGCCCCTAATGATGGCATTAAGACAAAATCCAAAATGGGCAAAATCATATAGCATGGAAACTCCTGTGTCAAGAGCAGCAGTGGTTTGCCCCTCACATTACTTTTGCAGAAATCTCTCTCTTGTCAACCCACAAATAACTTTTTGTTCTATTCCAAAGAAGGAAACCACACTTAGCTCCCCTTGGCCAGAAGAATAGGCTATCCAGGTGGAATATCCTTGAGGAAAAGGAACAGAAAGGGTTAAAATGAGCCCCTCCAGGGCTCTTCTCCATAATAAATTGGAATCCCAAGCAAAGGATACTAACGAGACAAATGAAGTCCAACACAATGAGCCCAAATGGCTAAAATCCACCACAGCTATTTACACTTCTCCCACCAAGTATTGACCACTTACCGCCTGCTTGCACCAGGAACAGCTGATGGCCACAATCTCTTTACTATGAAAGGAGAATTTTTGCTGAAACCCCTGAAACAGCAGGAAAAGATAAGACAAGAAAGCTGTCATTTCTTTCCATAACATTTGCATACTTCTGATCATGCAAGAAAATTCAACAACTTTGGTTTTTGTCATATGTCTGAGTTCTGCTAGAGCAGTCAAATACAATGAATAGACAGCACATTTTGTAAGCCCTAGGAATAGACAACAGTGCACTGAAGATGCAGGGGCATGTTACTCCTATTGATACAACAATAAGGTTAACAGCAAGGTTAAATCACACTCTTATTATAAAGTTCCCTATTAGCAGGGAGTGAGAAGAGTCAGTCAGTTTCAGAATTTTGTTTTATACCAATATTGGTCTCCCCTTTAAAATCCCCAAAACTATCAAATCAACCTTAAAATGAGTATATTCTTGGTGGTCCAAGGCAAAGTCACTGCAAAATAGTAGAAGTGAGATTGAAAAGAAGATTCTTAAATTGGGACACCATTATAACAAAGGTTTTGAATATACAGTATGGCCAAAATATATTCTTAGGGCTATATTTAACTTTGTAGTCAAAAGGAAGGAAAAAGGAAGAAACATTTATGAAATACAAATTCATTTGATAGGCTTTAACGGACATAAGTGAAATTAGAACATTCCATGCCACAGGAAATTTGGATATTTGAACATTTGGGTTTGAATGAAAACTTAGAATACACTTATATATACATTTATAAAACAATATTTCACAGGATTTTTTTTTAAAATTGGATAGAAAAAAAATCTATCAAAATGTTTAGACATTCCCAAAATCAAAATGTTTTCTATAAATTTGTTGAAAATGACCAAAAACACTTTGTTTTCAAGTCATTTCAACATTAAACTGCATTTTTCTATTTTGACATATTGCCTCTTGGAGTTGTAATTCAAGAAACAGACACTCCCATTCGCAATTCCCTAACTTCCTAACCAGCCTACATCTCCCATAATGCACCTTACAGAGCATGGTCAATGGGAATCCACACTGCATTGGAGAGAACTAAAGGGAGAAAAGAGCAAACTATAGCTCCCATAAGGAAAAGTACTGATAGTGTAATGCAGTTTAAACAGAACCTTTTAGATCAGTCCAATATTCATATTCAAATCAAACAGACCCTAAACAAATTTTTCATACATTTTCAGAAAAAAAAATGTCCATGGAAATGTTCCAAGTTATGGAAACTGCATTTTCCACTGGAAGATTATTCTGACAGAAAACTCCCAACCAACTCTAGATTTTAAGCTCTGAAGTGACCACTAAATCATCTAGCGTCACTTCATATAAAACAAAGGTCATAGAGCCCCATCTAATTACCTGTATATTTAACCCAATAACTGGTGGGTTTTTAAAAGTATTTTCTTTTCCAGGAAAGCATCCAGTTATGATTTGAAAGTTTCAGTAAGCAGAGAATCTACCGTATCCTTTGGTCATTTGTTTGAATGGTTATTCACACTCACTATTAAGCATCTCTACCTTATTTTTCATTTGAATTTGCCTGGCTTAAATTTTCACGCATAATGTGCCTCATACCTAGATGCCACATGAATATGCCACATTTGACGGATTAAATTCAGTCTCCTCAGACTCTGTGACCTGAAGACCCTGTCCCTCCCCTTCAATATTCTGCCCTTTCTAATTTGCTGATTTCCAGGATCAATGCCCTCCCTTCTTTAGATGAACTCAGCCCACTAACCTCAGCAATGAAACAGACCCATTGATTCCAAAAGCTCAAGCAGTCCACCTGTCTCTTGTCTAAGTGAAACCATTGAAAGTGGCCTCAAAAAAAACTCACCAAACCCAGGCTCAGATTTATAATACATAGAACAAGTGTTGGGGAGTAAAATGTTTGCAACTGAGGTCTGATACTGGGCAAACAGATTAGTAAAGGGTTTCCCCTTCGCTTTGATGAGAGTCTCTTAGGCTAAGAACACACATTGCACCTGTCCCCAAGCCAAACTGAGCTCTGAAAAGAAATGTCTTAAAATTGGGGCGTACACATATCACCCTTCCAGTCAAGGCTCAGTGAGTTGCCGAATGCACTGCCACTTTTCAGTCATTGATTCAAATGGTGTAATCCCTCAACGACTGTTCAGACTACTTCACAACGTCCTGACACAAACTATTAGCACTTTTTAATCCCAAGAGCCTTTTTACAGTTTGTCCCAGGCCTACAAACTCATCAGGGGAGAACAACAGCAAATAGGTAGAGCCCTTTTCTCCCCAGCACCACCTGGGGTGACAAGGAAAAATGGTAATAAGCTGATGGAGAAAAGGTTTAGAGATCAGAAGGCAATATTTTATAGTTAGGGTGGCCAAAATCTGGAACCAACTTCCCAGGGAAGTGGTCCTTGCCCCTACCTTGCGCAAATTCAAGAGGAGGTTGGATGATCCCCTGTCTGGGGTCTTGTGAACCCAGCATTCATTCCTGCCTGTGGCAGGGGTTCAGGCTAGATGATCTGTTCAGGTCCCTCCTGACCCTAGCTACTATGAAACAAATGTGGACCTCTAAACACTGTACCTTATTCCGGAATAAAATGTTTTCTCTCAGGACAAATGTGACATCTGCTTGTAGCCTTAAAGAGTGCTGACGGACGTGGGGGAAACAAAGCAAAACAAAACAGGGCTTTACCAGAAGAAGAATTGCATATGTTTACCTGGCTCCCCAGCATCTGTACAGCTCACATGCTTCAGTGGGCTTTTTGGCCCTTTTATCCAAAAAGCCCCGCTGAAGCATGAGAGCTATACAGACACTGGGGAGCCAGGTCAAAATGACACGATTCCTCTTCTGGGCATGTGCTATGCTTGGTGCAGGGGCATGCTGAGCTGAAAGTTAAATGCTGTTTTCTTTTTTATTCTGCATCTGTAAGCAGCCAAAGTATCTTATAAATTTCATCCAAAAACTCTATATAAAGAAAAAAAATTGAGGTGGAGGGGGAAAGAGGGAGGGAGACCAACCTACTTTGACTTCTCATGGTGATTTGAGAAATCCCCATCTCCCAAAACTGCAGCTAGCAAAAAAACAAGACCTGGTACATGCGTTCTGCAATACATCAGCGGTATATTTTAAACATATGGACTGAGCAGCTTGCCTGTTTCTGGATGGACCATTTTTCATGTCTTAAGTTATTTGGCTTTTAGAGAGTCATCAGTGAGAATGATAGAGCAATAAAAAATAAAATAATGATACAAAGCAGTAAAATAGCACTTTTCTTTCTCAAACTACTTTAAAATGTGAGTTAATCTCTCCTCACAATTCAGCTCTGAGGTACATTGGTACCAGGTAGAAACCTGGTTTTACAGTTAAGGAAACTGATACTAGTAAGATAACTTGATCAAAAACAGAGTGGGCGTCAATGTAAACACTGGGATTAAAATACCTGTGCTCAGATTCCTGTGCTCAACCAACAGGAAACCACCCACTCTCTTCATCCTCTTTCCACCCCTCACAATAGGAAAGAACATTCAAATTCAGTTTCCCTTTGTTTTTCCTGTGTTGGTTTGGACCTCCCTCTCTGGCAGAAGAGGAAGAGTTTTCCACCCCTAGGATGCCTGTTGCACCATTTGAGGAATAATGAAATGGAACATTAACTTCATATTTGAAAGGATGTTATTCCATTAGTGTTTGATTTACTGTCCTCCCCCCAGCCATTAGTGTCTAATTCCAATGCAGTACATATAACTGAATGTTCCACATTGCTCTTGTGAAAGTAAACATCTGTGTGTGCTGGAGGAAATATATTTGGAAGCAGAGAGCACCTGGATCCTCAGAAAGCACAGGGGAAGACGTTCTGGCCAAATCATCTGATTCAGTCATTTTAAGATCATAAAATTGTAGAAAATTAGGGTTGGAAGGGACCTCAGGAGGTCATGTAGTCCAACCCCCTGCCCAAAGCAAAACCATCCCCCACCTAGATCATCCCAGCCAAGGCTTTGTCTAGCTGGGCTTTAAAAGCCTCCAAAGATAGAGATTCCACCACCTCTCTGGGTAACCTGTTCCAGTGCTTTACTACTCATCTTGTGGGAACATTTTTCCGAATATCTAACCTAAACTTCCATGGCTACAACTTGAAACCGTTGCTCCTTGTTCTGTCATCTGCCACCACTGACAACAATCTAGCTCCATCCTCTTTGGAACCACCCTTCAGGTGCACTGAAAGGCTGCAATTAAATCCCCCCTCAGTCTTCTCTTCTGCAGACTAAAAATAAGCCCAGTTCCCACATCCTCCCCTCATAAGTCATGTGCCCCAACTCCCTAACCATTTTTGTTGCTCTCCGCTGGACTTTCTCCAAGTTGTCCACATCCTTTCTGTAGTGAGGGACCAAAACCTGGACACAGTACTCCAGATGTGACTTCACCAATGCTGAACAGAGGGGACCAATCACTTCCCTCAATCTACTGACAACCTTCCTACTAATGCAGCCTGCTATGCCATTAATCTTCTTCACAACACGTGCACACTGTTGGCTCATATTCATCTTATTGTTCACTGCAACCCCCAGGTTGTTTTCTGCAGAGCTTCTGCTTAGCCAGTGGTTCCCCAGTCTAGACCGGTGCATGGGATGTTTCTGTCCTAAATGCAGGATTTTGCACTTGTCCTCATTAAACCTCATGAGATTTCTTTTTTGGAGCAATCCTCCAATTTGTTGAGGTCTCTCTGAACCCTAGCCATATGCTCCTACATGTCTACTACTCCCCACAGCTTGGTGCCATCCACAAACTTCCTGAGGGTGCACTCCATCCCATCTTCCAGATCGCTGATGAAGATATGAACAAAACCAGCCCCAGGACCAACACCTGGGGCCTACCCCTTGATACCAGCTGCCAGCTAGACATCAAGCCATTGACACTACCCTCTGAGCCTGATGATCCAGCCAGGTTTCTATCCACCTTACAGACCATTCATCCAGACCATACTTCCTTAGCTTGCTTGGAGGAACGTTGTGGGAGACGATATCAAAAGCCTTGCCAAAGTCAAGATATATCATGTCCACTGCTCTCCCCACATACACAGATCCAGTCATCTCATAAAAGACTGTCAGGTTGATGACTTGCCCTTGGGGAATCCATGCTGACTGTTCTTAATCACCTTCTCCTCCAAGTGCTTAGAAATAGATTCCTTGAGGAAGTGCTCCATGATTTTTCCAGGGACTGAGGTGATGCTGACCAGTCTGTAATTCCCCAGATCCTCCTTCTTCCCTTTCTTAAAGATGGGCATTATACTTGTCTTTTTCCAGTCATCCAGGACCTCTCTCAATCACCATGAGTTTTCAAAGACAATGGCCAGCAGCTCTACAATCATATTGGCCAACTCCCTCAGCAAGCTCCGGTGCATGGCTTCAAGTTTTGTGGACTTGCATACATCCGGCTTTTCTAAATGGTCCCTAACCTATTCTTTCACCGCTGTCAGCTGCTCACCTCCTCCCCAAACTGTGCTGCCAGGTGCAGTAGTCTAGGAGCTGACCTTGCCTGTGAAGACTGAGATAAAAAAGGCATCAAGCACTTCAGCCTTTTCTGCATCATCTGTCACTAAGGTGCCTCCCTCATGCTTTCCTGATCTTCTTCTTGTTGCTGATATAGACATACACACACATGTACATACACATACACATATGCAGTACACAGTGCACAGTACTCAAAGTCATACTGAGTAGGCCCATGTTGTCTCCATGACCCTATTTATCTTCATGAAAATGTAATTATTTTACTTCAGTTAGGGAAGTAATCCACAACCACTATATAACTTGTCTTTGTAAAGCTCTTTAGGCTCTACCAATGAAAACCCTGTATGAGAACAAGGTAATATTTATTATTATATTATTAAGCCCTGGATGTAGTTTTGTTTTAAATCCAGTATGACATGCACCAAATTCTCCAAAGCTGTCTTTCTTTTTGGCCAAGGGTATGATAGGTAGAGCTTTCTAATTCTTGATCACTGTTGGAATACAGCAGGAGAGGTGTGCACCAAACACTGATGATTGATAGACCACTTAAACACCTGATGGTTATAGTTAATGCTGTCACAACCCAATTCCTGACAATCAAACTTCTCACAACAACAAAGTACTACAAAACTGGCATCAACTAAGACCTTAGAATAGTAATACTATTAAAGAGACCTACAAAACTGAATGACAAATATTGCTAAAAATTTGAGGCATAATAGCAGAGCAATGAGGGGGAAAATGATATTGCACTCTTCTTTATCCTATTTGTTAAAAAATGTCAGCAACTACCGCCTTTTAAGACAACAACCAATTCAATTAATTCTCTTACATGGAAAAAAAAAGTACTGTCCTCATTTATCCCAACTTCTGGACAAATGGGATCTACCACCGAAGATGGACAGAGAAATCTATTTGCTTCACTGATGCCATTCACCTTCCATCTACTGAGCAGGCTTTGGCAAACTTTTCAGTTTCCTTTACAGCTGGTATACAAAGGATCTGTAGGCCATTGGTTAATCACCTCCAAATTCTGCTCCTGCACAAACCTATAGTGTGGGATTTTTCATGTAAAACCTCAGAGAAAAGCTCATGTTTTGCTATCCTGCATCAGAACGCCCATCTATCTACTCCAATAACTAACACCTGAGCCACAGCCAATGTTATTTAGAAGGAGGAAAACAAAAAATAAAGCTAACATGCCAAGCTAAGGATATAAAGAAAAATTAATTGTTGTCCACAGGCTTACGACTGAAAATATGAGATATGATGATTATCCTTAATCTTTGCTTGCATTACTGTGAGTGTTATTAATGTTCATTAAAATATTTAGCTATCCAATTTGAGCCCAGGATTTGACTGATGACCTCCTATTACAAATGAGACCCACATAATGATTAGATACTCCATGAAAAATACTTATTTTATTGCTCTAAATTTACTACCATTTCATTTCAATGATAGCCTCCTTTTTCTTACATGACAGGGGAATTAATTTAAGGCAGAAGCTCAAAAAGCAGGAAAATGGACCACAAGGTAAAATATATCTGGCTGTAGAGGAGTTTACTTTGGCATTGAAATAAAGTATTACAAAGAAAAATCCCTTTTTATTTTCATCTTTCTAGTTTCTGGGTAGAGAGGTCTGCTAGAATATACACATGGAAATGCTGACTATTTATTGTCCACAAGGAGAGTAGCTACCTCCTTTGACCGTCTACTGACTTTCACCTCAGGGAGTTATCGCCAGTGTGTTCCAGAGAAAACTGGTCAGGTTAGTAATAAGAGTATATCATGTGCTGGTTCTACTACGTGTATTAACACAGTATGCAGTGACTGTTCAACTTGCCTAATGAATTCCTTTAACACCAGTAGTAAAGATACAGCACAACTCCCAGAAAGGCAGAGGCACAAGAAAACATGGCTCCAATGTCATCATGTGTCATGCCAGCTTAAGAATCCTGCATGTGCATGCCTCACTGCTCGTGATCACACACCATGAATGAAATATTGCATCCTGTTGTCACTAGTGCTTTAGAATGATATTGAGTCAAACTGGTACAAGTCTCTTCTTCTAATACAACAGAGAATATGTCAAGACATGGGTTCTGCCCTGGCCCTGTAGAATGACTGAAGCTGCAGAAGCTGAGGGTAAGAGGGAACTAGAAGCACAACTGAGTGCAGAAGGAAAAAAAAGTTTACTTAGGTGTAAATTGGACCATATAGACCACTCATGGGTCCACAGAGATGCAGCTATCTTGCAGTCCCCCTACAGTAGCACAGCATGCTTTGATGGTACCTGTGCCAGACTCGGTAAGTTTACTGTGTAAACATGACCTTAGTTTCAATACCACTAATAAGCTTGGAATGAATGCAGTACAAGAAGGATAACTCCAAGCCTCAATTCAGACTCAGGCTAAAGGCTGTCCCAAGTCACCCCAAATGGACACTTGGTCATTCAGGCTGGAGAGGCAAAGGTGACCAGGTGTGAGGATAGCTACATCATTTCCTTGCGTGTCACTGTCTATAGAAACTAGTGTGCCTTAACCACAGTAGCTTTGATTTTTTTATTATTATTGTTGTTGCTATTATTTTAACAGGCTTGGAGATTTGAACTTATGAGAAGAAAAATTCTGTGCAATTAAAGTTTTCTTTGACCTTTTCTATTGCCAGTAGAAATGGGCTTTCACTGTCTTGTGCAGTAGAGGATACACTGAACAGCCCAAAGCAGCCAACACAGCAAGAATCTGGAAACAGTGCAATAGCCTTTCACTTTCAGAGACTTGGGTTTAGGCCACCAGTGAAACAGATTTACTGTCACCATTCTGTTTCCCATTTGTACGCACCAAAAAAGTATTGCACTATTCCACATGATTCCCTTTCTCTGCCCAAGAAAGACCCAGAACTAGAACAGAACAGAATAATGAAATGGCTCGGTGGAGCTCTATTAATCTGAAAGTGCCTAGAAATCTTGTCACAAGTTTTATGATCTGTATATACTTCTTACCTTTCCACATTGTTTACATTTTCCCTCCTGCCTTCGCCTGTGCACCCAGTGATGTCGGATAAAGTTCTGCAGGAGGAGGACAGAGAAAATACACTAACAAATGATAGTGTTTAACAGTTACCCAGCACTTCCCATTCAAATTCATTTACGGAACAGTGCATAAAAATCACTTCAGCCACAACTGAAATGTGGTTGCTTGTGGAGCAAAATGTGGCAGTTGTTTAGCATTGATATGATACAAAGAGAAATACAAAACACCATATACAACTGAAATTGCAGGAAAAATTTAGGTACAGTGCATATATTCATTACCCATTTTGGAATATGGCCAAAACAACCCTTCTGCTACTTTTCTACAAAAGGAATACCAGCAGATCACAGCACAGACAATTAAAAAACAAAAAGAGAGAGAAATGTCTTTACAACAATCTGTTCACCCATGGCACAAGGCCTGATTCTCTGTCTCCAGTAAAGTCAATAAGAGATTCACCACTGAGTTCAGTAGGACCAGGTTTAGTTTCATGAGGCAAAAACATGAGTTGAGAGGGAGCAAGAAACTCCTTACTCCTCTACACAGGCTACCCACATCATGGGCTACAGTAAAGAGAAAAAAGGAGCAGTATCTGGTATTCCACTGCAGATATGAGAAGAAGTCAGAGCTCTCACTTTGTCCCCTCAAAACACCAGGCAGCACAGCTGAACAGATATAGAAAGGAAGTGGCCTGCATCTTCTGAAGACTGGTCATATATTATTTTCCCATGGAGAAAGGGGAGAGACTAGAACAGGTTGGTAGCTGAGTCACCAGGTCTGCTCATGGGGCTTCAAAACTATGTGTGGTACACTGCTGTGAGCTGAGAGTGAAGCCTCAGTCAAGTCCACACTTTATATTGAAGAAATCCACCTCCTAAATCTGATCCCATCCTCTGACGACTCATTATCAAAATGGTTTGTCAATAAGGCTAGGAAATTATGATCAAAGGAAGTAGGGCTGGAAGGAACATCACAAGGCCAGGAGTCCAGTCCCCTCCTCAAGGCAAAATTCACTAAACCATGCCAGTCAAGTGTCTGCTCAAAGTGCTCTTGAAAATTTCCAAGGATGGAGATTCCACAACTTTTCTAGGTAGCCCTATCCAAGCTTGACCACACCCTCAGAGTAAGAAAGTGCCTCCTAGTCTCCAAACTCAATTTCTCTGGCTAAAGCTTGGAACCACTACTCCCAGTCCTGTCCCCTACAACCACAGAGAGAAGCTTATCTCCATCCTCTCTGTAAACACCCTTCAGGTATTTGAAGACTGTTAAGAAATCACCCCCACCCCCTCCCAGTCTTCTCTTCTCCAGATTCAATACCCCCAGTTCTTTCAGCCTTTCCTCATAAGACGTGCTTCTCAGGCTTCTAATTATTTTTGTTGCTCTCTGCTGGACTTTTTCTAAACTGTTCACATTCCTCTTGAAGTGTGAGGCCCAAAACTGGACACACTACGCCTTAGTGCTAAATAGAGTAGAAGAATTACTTTCCCTGATTTGTAAGTGACACTCCTGCTGATACAACCCACCACATGGTTGGCCTCATTTGCAACAAGCACACACAATTAGGTAACCCTCAGGTCTTTCTGTGCAGTACTGCACCCTAGTCACTCATTCCCCAACCTGTATTTGTACATGCTATTTTTGTGGCGCAAGTGCAGGACTTTGCACTTGTCCTTTTTTGAATTTCATCTTGTTGACCACAGATCATTTTTCCAGTCAACCCAAGTCATTCTGAATCCTAGCCCTAGCCTCCAGAGTGTCTGCAACTCCATCCAACTTAGTATCATCCACAGAAATCAAATCTGTTTCCCTCTAGAAACAGGAAATTCATTTGTTAAAGCAGTGTTATCTTCTAGGCCAATCTCAATTTAAATGCCTTAATATCTAAACATCATTGTGCCTAAGCATGTTCACCAACCCCTTAGGGTACATCTACAGAGCAAATGAGACTGATTGTAGCATGAGTCAGCATTCCTTGCCTTATTTTTACTCCAACTAGTAGTGCAAATGCAATAGCATGGACTGGCAAACATAGGATACATCCAGAGTTTCTGATGGATTTGTACAGTTTGCACTGAAGTCTGTGTCATAGTTTTCACCAGTACTGTTGGCTTTAATCTAGTTAGCACAAGTAACTTGTGAGAATCATAGAATCTTAAGAAATTAGGGCTGGAAGGGACCTCAGGAGGTCACATCTAGTCCAACCCCCTGCTCAAAGCAGGACCAGTCCCGACTAGATCATCCCAGCCAAAGCTTTTTCTATCTGGGTTTTTAAAACTTCCAATGATGGTGATTCCATAGCCTATTCCAATGCCTTACTACCTTTCTCATGAGAAAGTATTTCCTAATATCTAATCCAAACTTCCCTTGCTGGAGCATAGCTCCTTATTATTATCAGCCACCACTGAGAACAGTCTAGCTCCATCTTCTTTGGAACCACCCTTCAGGTAATTGAAGTTTGGTATTAAACAGCCCTTCAGTCTTCTCTTCTCTAAACTAAATAAGCCCAGTTCCCTCAGCCTCTCCTCAGAAGTCATATGCTCCAGTCCTCTCACCATTTCCATTGCACTCTGGTGGATTCTCTCTCCATCTGTCCTTTCTCTAGTGGGGGGGCCCAAAACTGGACACATTACTCCGGATGTGGCCTCACCAGTGAGAGATGCAGGGAAATAATCACTTCCCTTGATCTGCTGGCAACACTTTTACTAATACAGCCCAGTATGCCATTAGCCTTTCTCATAACACAGGCACACTGTTTGCTCATACTCAGCTTATTGTCCACTGTAACCTTTGCATTCCTTTTCTACAGAGCTGCTGCTTAGCCAGTCAGTCCACATCATCCAAATCATTAATGAAGACATTAAAGAATATGAGGCCCCTGAAGAATGCTACCTGAAACCTCCTTCTCCTAGCCAGACATTGAGCCATTGATGACTTGTTGAGCACAATGATCCTACCAATTATGAATCCACCTCACAGTACTTTCATCTAGGCTGTATTTCTTTATCTTTTTAATGAGACTGTCATGGGAGACAGTGTCAAAAGTCTTGATAAAGTGAAGGTATATCACATCCACTGCTCTCCCCCATCCACAAAACCTGTCACCTTATCATAGAAAGAAATCAGATTGGTCAAGCATGACTTGCTCTTGATAAATCCATGCTGGCTCTTCTGAACACCTTCTGTCCTCTAGGTGCTTCACAACAGATTCCTTGAGGACCTGCTTGATGATCTTTCCAGGAACTGAGATCTGGCAGATTGATTGGTAACTTCCCAGATATGCCTTCCTCCCTTTCTTAAAGATGGTACTATATTTGCCCTTTTCCAGGACATCATCCAGGACATCACTGACCTCCAAGAATTCTTAAAGGGGATAGCCAATGGCTCTGAAACTACTTCAGCCAATTTCTACAGTACCCCAGAGTGACTCCCATACAGCCCTACTGAGCTGAAAGCATCTAGCTTCTCTAATGGTAAAAATAGACACTGGACTTATCCTGGGTCTGATTGTTCAGGGTTTTGACCTACTTCAAAACAGGCATGGAGGCAGTCTTTTACACATGCAGGACCTGTTCCTCCTCTACCCGACCGCTTCCAGTCCAGGCCCAGTTCCCCCCAACCCCTGTGCTCCAGGGCTGGTGCCACTCCCCCCCACCCCTGTGCTCCAGGGCTGGTGCCAATCCCCCCGCACCCCTGTGATCCGGGTACACTGCCGCACGCCCGCACTCCAGGTCCACCCAGCCTGTATTCACCTGCCTCCCCTCCCCACTCCCCTCCCTCCCTCCCAGCTGTTGGCAGGGCCCAGTGGCAGCAGGGCGCTGTCATCATGTCCCCCCTCTGCCAACTTTTGTGGGGGCCTGGTGGTGGCAGTGGCGCACTCCCTGCCATCATGGCGGGCAGAGATGGAGTCCTGCATTCGGCCCTGCCCCCACTTCTTGTCTGGTCGGTGGAGAACGGGCCCGCTCCCCCACCCTTGCCCCCACCACTTGGGGGCTGAGCCCAATCCCTCCCCCTTCGGGGCTGTTGTCGGGGCACTGCCACTGTGCCCTGCCTCCCCCTCCCATGCTCCTCCCTGCCTCCCCATCCCTGCCAGTTTTTCTCAGGACCTAGCAGCTCCATGTCCCCCCGCATCCAGCCCCACCCCCACTTCTCATCCTCGGTATCACTTGAAGGGAGCGGGGTGGGGGTGGCAAGGCCAGTGGTGTTTGGAGCATGGGTCTCACCTCCCCCATGCTCCAAACAGTCCTTGCTGCCCCTTCACCGTCGTGGCGGCACTCCATCGCACCGTCTCCTGTTGAACGCTTGTAGAGCACTCTGGCTGTTTCAGTCAGCCACTCAGAGTGCGAATAAAGCATTGTGGACAGACAGACAGACAGACTAAAGCTTTTATAATATTAGAACGTCAACAACTCTATTTGCTTTGCTGCATTGGCTTATTTTCCTTGTAAAATGCATTCTTTACTACTTATGTCATTAATATTTATGTAAGAGCATACACTATACATAATGTGCCATATTAACATCACACCTGGAATTTTCACTTTCATTTCTTGCTGGCTTATAGTTTTCAACTCTGCAGAATAGTGAAAGTCTTAAATACTGAGAATGCAATTGAAAAATGAGACCCAAAAGAGTATGTTAAAGAAAAGAAGTAACGGAGGGAAATAGAGAAAATATAAAACAGAAGAATTAGTTTAAAGGCAAGAAATAAGGAAGGATAAAAGAATATTTAAAAAGAAAAGTAAAGGAATGGGGATTTAAAAAAATAATATGGATGAATGAATGAGGAGAGAGGAACAAAAAAGGAGAAATGGATCCTGTTGATATAACTAATGCAGATGTTTGCCTAGGATTAATTTTAAATTCACTGTGAAGAACAGAATGTGTCCCAAAGGGGACTTGTTCTCTTTCAAAGGCTCCATTGAATCTAAAAGCACCATTTCATCTCCAGACATAGATGCATCAGGTGCACAAATCATTAGGAAAGCAATCATTTGCCATAATCTACTTACTTCTCTTGGAGATCTGGAGCCCCCCTCACGGAAAGTTGGTTTGCAGTGGAAATTTATCTGCCATTTAAATGAAAAACAAATGGTCACAGAGAATCCTTTTAATCATGTGGAGGCACAAGTGGGACTCAGAACCAGCTGTAAATGCTGACAACAAACACAACGATAAAAGGAATGAGAATGATTCCATTACATGTCATTAGGTTCAGGCTTCTAAAATTCCTATTAAAACCAAAGAAAAAAACGTCTTTGAGTCCAGCAAAATTACTTTGCCTCTGCCAACACAGCCTGTAGTCTGCCTCCCCACATTACTAAAGTCACGTTACTAAAGCTGTAGTTCTCTGTTCAGTAACTCCTCTTAACCTGTCTTCCCTTCCCTAAAGAATACAGTGTTGCATCAGTTTAACCTTGCTTTTAGGGCTGACAAACGATTAAAAAAATTAATCTCAATTAATTGTGAGATTTGAAAAATAGTCGTAATTAATCGCCAATATAATTGCAGTTAAAAATAGCACTCCCATCCACCCAGCATCCCAGAGCTTGTGTGCCCTGTGGCTCCTCCCCACCACCACCAACAGCACACAGTCCCAGCCCCAACCTCAGCCCTCCCCACGTCCGCTCCAGACTCCACTCCCGCCAACCAGAGCAGACCAGCCGTTTGGAACCCGCGCACACAGCCCTAACCCTAGCTCACCCCATGCCTGCTCCAGACTCATCCACCCATGTGGAGCTCACCCACCCCATGCTCCTCAGCGCAGGGGAAAAGTGGCCCCTGCCCCTCACCTCTGCCAAGCCCTTCTTGCTGCAGCCTCCCAGAGCCCACACCTGGGCTGCCCTGTGGTGCCTCTGCACTGCCACCACAGCCCTGCTGGGCAGTGATGGTGGCAGAGAAAAGCCTCAAGGCAGCCTGGACATAGGCTCCAGGTGGCTGCAGCAAGAAAGGCCCAGCAGCAGCGAGTGGGAGTGGCCGCTTTTTCCCCATGCTGAGCAACATCTTCTGCCCAGCTGCCATTGGCCCAATTTTGCCCACCACTGGTCAAAGTGTGTGAGATTAATGCTCATTAAAAAAAATTAATATATTAACTTGTTTTGCGTCAATTGCACCCATTAACTGCAATTAATTGGGAGTCCTATTTGCTTTGCATTAGGGAGAAAGTAGGGCAGAACAGCACCATAGAGACTAGCTAGTTTAGAGAGACAAGATTTTTTGGCTAACTACCTGCATCTACTCATAGGTTGCACTACGAGGGATACTTTGGCCATCAGACGGGTCTTAAGCTGGTGTTTTTAAAATCAGTGGGAGCTGGGCATCTAAGTCCTCCGTGCCTTTTGAAAATCCAGTCCTTCCTCCTGCTCAAATGAAATTTTGGATTCCACAGAAGGTGTTGTCATTTCTATGAGAAGTGCTGTATCTCATCCTGAATGAGTGGGTAGGTAGATTTTTCCACCCCTGAATTAGACCACTCTACTTTTCCTGCCCACCTTCATCTCCTAGCCAGCACAGCAGAACCTACAATGGGATGAGTTCTGCTCCTCATCTCTGAGAGCAAGTAAGGGTAGAAGATGGCCAATAAAAGCCTTCAGAAAACTTAATATGTTATTAGAAAACTAAGAAGAAAGATAGAGATAGGCAAGGAGGGAAGCAACTAGAGGCAGGGGTGCCACGGAAACAGATGAAATGAAAGGTTGTGAGAAAAAAAGGAGGATATGGGATGCAGAAAGGGTAAAGGGATAGGAGAATGAGAAGACCGAACAAAAGGGAAAGGATGATGCAGGACTAAAAAAATAAAAGTATTTTCTACTTTTATTGGCCTTTAGTGTAGAATACTGAAATATACTGTTCAGCTGTCCTTCATTATGAAGGCAGTGAGGCTGCATCTAAAAATAAAGGCATCACAGTCCATCTCCATCGCAAATAAACTAGCTGTGCCTTTCCTTTTTAGTGTTGTAAAATGACAGCATTAGAAACAACAGATCAGGAAACAGAGTTACTGGAAATAAATCTTATGTAAAAACAAATTAATCCCACAGTCCTATTGGCATTCCTTTAACGCAGTTCAGCTGCAGCCTTTATTCTTTGTTTCACTCTGGAATCTTGGTAGGCTGCAAAAGCCACAATTCACCCTAGGAACAGGGTCAAACACAAGGTCAATGCACCACTCGTGCCAGGAAACAGGACTGAAATCAAGATTAAGAGATATGTGGACCTTGTGATAGCCCTCTGCTGAGAAGCTGTGGTAAAAATATGTTATAATCTAGTCATTATGATTTTGCAATAACGTTTGTATAGCAGCTGTGTGGTAAAAATGTCTCATCTCCCTACACAAAGGCTTCACAGCTGAGAACTGTTTAGTTTCACTACATAATTGCTTCTGCATATTATCACACTTGCTTCTGCTAAGGTATGTAGGCCAATGATAGATTTACGAGTAGCACTAGACTTTTGCAGACATAGCCAGAAACAGATACAACAAATAACTCCTTACGAGAGATAAGAGAAGAGGGACAGGGAGAGATGCTGATGTAAAAAACTCAGACCTTAACTGAAGAATGACCGAAATGGACTTAAGGACGGCCCCAGGGAGGAGATTTAAGATGTAAATGAGACATATATGTAAACCGTCATAGAACATGTACCTGCTAGACATATGTTATAAGACGTAATACTTGAGCTGCCAATAATTACGCGACACTTTAGAATCTTTTGTTTATGTTAGCTATAAAAAGAAACCCCAGACTCTGTTTGGGGTCGACACGGATTTGAGTAAATTAAGCTCCCTTGTCGAACTTGTTTGCAAACAATAAATCTGAAATTGGACCCAGCCTGTGTGTGAGACTCTCTCCTAGAGGTGGATTGGACAAGACTCCAGGGGCACGAAACTAGCCGTTTGTGCAACAAAGTGAATGTCACACGCGGTCACCCAGTATTAACAACCTAAAATTTAATGCAGTCAGCTTCTAAGTGCAGTCGCCACTTGTTCGGACACTACCAGTAGGCGGAAAACTGGGGAATCATTGCTGCTGTTGGTAAAATTACTCAGTCATCATTTGTCTTACTTTAACTTTGGGTATGGCAACCTGAAAGTGGTAAAGCTAATTTCACTGGGGCAGAGGGAGAGAGAAGGGTGGGTAGAAGAAAGGAGCCTCAACAAATTTGTAAGTGATGACTACTGGGACATTTGGCAAAACAAATCCAAATTGTGGAGGGTAAATAAAAAGTTCTTCCTAAATGACTGCCTCTGCTTTCCTTTAATGAACTAACTACTTCTGGGCAGACAGCCAGTGTAATGGGGATCATAGTCCACAGGCCCATTCTCTTCCCATTCATTATAGTCAGTCCATGATTTTCCCACATGCTTTCCACTGAACAAAATTATTCCTAAATTAACATATAGTCCTAAGACTGTAAGTTATCTTATAGTCAAATAAATGTATAACCAGCAGATGAAGATGCATTGATAGAGGACGTCATTTTAGGATCAATATTTTTATGGGCTATATTGGGGGTTGTAGACAGATCTCTGGGGAACTGTAAGCAAGCTGAATGCCAAAAAGTTTAAACTATTTACCAGGGCAAGAGATCTTTATATTACCACTTGTACCTCAATTCCTAAAGTTAGGTACTAAACTCCTAAAGTTTTGAAAAAGACAGAAAGAAGGACAGACTATTTGTAGCAGTAGTTCTTGTGTTCTTTTTACTAGTTACTTGTTATCAGTTGAGTGCTGTTGTTTTACTTGTGGGCTTCTATGAGTGGCAAATATATGGTGGGGTAGGTAACAGGGCACATTCTGTCTCCCACTGGGAAGGGAAGCAGAGAGGATAACCATGATATAGGTACAAGCCTAGAACCTGGGAAACCCAAGTTAAATTCTCTGCCACTGACATGCTATGTGACCTTAATTAAGTCACTTAGGGTGTTGTTATACATTACCTTTAAGATGTGTTACAGGCTCTTAAAACAGGAGCACCCACACATTAGGGCAGGAAAATATGAGCTAGGTGCCCTCTGAGTATCTCAGATATAGTCCTCTTCCAGCAAGGGCAGAGAACTAGCTCATCTTAGGCAGTTCGTTTGCGGCCATGTTACACAGCTCCACAGGCCCAAGACAAGTTGGGCGTAATCCTCCAACATCCCAGGAGTCACCACTCCCAGCCATTCCCAAATGGACACTTTCTTTCCCCCATGTGACAGCAAGGGCAGCTACAGGGACCTTAAAAGTAAGAATTCCACCCCCTCCTCCCATTCCCCACCCAGCCCTCAGGGCTCCCCCTCTGCCCTCCCCCAACCCTTGCAACTCACCCTCGCCCCCTGTGTTCCCTAGTTCCCCACTCAGCTGTGGCTGCTGGCAGTATCCTGGGGGAGCAGGCAAGGAAAAGACCCCACCCACCCACCCACCCACCAATGCCACTGCACATCTCCAGGTGGATGCCAATGCAGAGAGCAGGAACAGCAGTGTGCAAGCAGCTGGGTTCCCCTTCCCCACCTATTCCACCAGGACAGTGCTGGCAGCCAAATGTCAATGGGGAGCTGTGGGAGAGGGTAGGCAGGATCTGATCTGGGGAGGCAGTGGTCAGTTGATAAGCACCTGGCCAGCGTGGGGGGCTGGGCCCAATCTGGGCCAATAGCAGGCCTGAACTGGGGTAGAAGACAGGTAACACAGACCTGATCCAGGCCAGCAGAAGGCAACAGGGATCCAGTCTGGGGAGGCAGGGGGCTGGCAGGCCTGATGTAGGCCCAGTGTAGACTGCTGGGGGCTGATGGGGTCCCAATCCAAGCTGCAAACTCATTCCTGTGACTACACTGCCCCAGACAGCAAGTGAGCCATGCAGACAGAGCCAACTTGGCAGTTCTCCCCCCTGCTTCTGTTTGCCAGACCTCTAAGGGCAGGTCAGAGCAGTGCACATTACAGTGGGTATTAACCCTTAGGCTAAGTGCAGATAATCCAAAAGCCTGAGGCTGAAATGATTCAATCTTTGCAGGTTAATCTAAACTGAGTAGACTGAACCAAGAAGCAAGTGAACAGACATTCACTTTTGATTCCAAAAATGCAGCCACATGCCTGTGGTGACTCAGGCCAGAAGCTGGGGAGTGCTACAGCACACCTCCAGCCTTTCGGCCACTGCGGATGGGAAGGGAGGGAACCTGGGACAGAAGCCCTCTGAGGGTTTTCCGCCATCCCTATATGAGGTGAGGGGGGAGGGGGCATGGCCAGGCCATGGCCAGCCAGCTGAGTATGGAGGGCTGGGGGGAGCAGCCCCTGCCAGGCTTTTCCCTTACTCCCTGTTCAAGCAGAGGTGGGGGATGTGACCAGGCCCCTGCCCGGGTCAGCACTCAGAGAGGGGAGGTAGGTTTAAACACCTCCCTTGCCCGCACAGTTCCCCAACTGGGGTCTGCCTGGCAGGGGCAGAATAGCCCCTGACAGGCTTTTCCCTACTCTCTGCTTGAGCAGAGAGAGGCGTGCATGGCCAGACCTCAGGTGGGAGAAAGGGGCTTAAACCCCATCCCCTGCCCACATGAGACCCCAGGCAGGGTCTTCCTGGGATCCCATGTGGGCAAGGAAATGGGTTTAAACCCCACTATCCCCCCTCCCCCTCAGCATGCCAGCCTGGCCCAGGGTCTGGCCATGCCCCCCGCTCTCTACTTGAGCAGAGAAAAGCCTGTCAGGGGTTGCTTCACCCCCACCATACAGACCCTGGCTGGGGTCCAGTGTGGGTGGGGAGGGAGGTTTAAACCTCCCTCCCCACCCTCTGCCTCAGTGTGCTGACCAGGGCCAGTGCCTGGCTATACCCCCACCCTCTGCTTGACCAGGTAGCAGAGAAAAGCTTGTGAGGGGCTGCTTTCCTCCACCCCCTCCCCACCAGGCAGATCCCTCCTGGGGTCCAGAGCCAGGTTCTCCCCACCCCTACCCCCTACCTGCTTCCCAGTCAGCCAGAGCAGTGACAGTGCTCCAGCTAGGGAGCAGAGGGGTAGGGCCAACCCTGCTCCACTGGAGCAGACAGCACAACCCAGGGCTCAAAGCATCCTGGGATGCTGGGGGACTGTGAGTTAACTTGAACTGGTAAGGGATTTGGGACAGAAGTTCCATAAACCAGTTTGGCCTAAATCAGTTCAGTCTGATACTACATCCAACCAGGTTTATTTTAAACCAGTTTCAGCCATTTTGAAAGCAGTTTAAGTGCATGGAACTTCTGTTGTGTTACAGATTTGAACCAGTTTCTGATCACTTAAACCGGTTTATGTGTAACTTCTATCCCTAGCCTTAATGTGCAAGTGCTCACAGCACATACTAACACTAATGCCAACTAACATTCCTTAAAGTTAACACATACTAATTGTAATGTATAACCACTCCTTAGTGTGTCTCCTTGGTGCCCGTGCCTGTCATGTGATCTACCAAATGACTTGCGAGCTGCATTTCCTCTAACACTTTGCAATGTTGGGGTTTCTTGGGGTTTTTAAAGGCTTCTGAAGAAAGTATTCAGAACTCTTGGTAGAGGTGATATCTTTTATTAAACCAACTAAATAGTTGCAAAAAAATTCTTTATTTGCAAACCTTTGGGCTCATGCACACTTCCTCAGGCAAAGGAGAATGCACAGATTGTAATATTTCTCCCAGGTAGAAATGAAACTTCATGTTGCACAGGAGACTAGAAAGATGTTATAGGTTTCCCTGGGTGGAAATGTTCATGTTTTGCAAATTAGGCTCAAATAAAAGTTGGAGCAGTCTGAAGAAAAGCATTTTAAAAATTCCAATCAATTCCATCTATCGTCTGAGGAAATCATACTAATATATTCAAAACACCAGAAATTTGGGTTCAAAGGGTTTTCAGGCAAAAGCTTGGTAACAGATTAATTTTGGAGTCTGTGTTCAATATACCAGTAGGTGGCGCTTTCTTACCTTTTCTAACTGTTCCATGCATGCATTGTGGACCACAATCTTACAGGCAGCACACTTCCTTCGGAGAGCCGATTTCTGCAACAGGAAAGAAAAGCATGAGTGTGTACAGGTAGGTGTTATTCACAGGAGGTACAATATTAATCACAGGCTGGACAAATTACTCTTTCCTCTTTCGTATACAATGGGTTTTCTGGTATTTCCTGATAATCTGATTGATCTGTATATTGAAAAATTACTTGATGCTGCATGGTAAAAAGGAAATGGTAGTAATACAGAGGGGGACATATTGCTCTGGCCTGTGGACTAGAAAAAGAGAACTAAGGCTATTTTTAGGCAGTAAATCAAATTATTGGTGACATTTTGACCATAGGCCTCTCTCAATAGGGACACCCTGTAAAGTGCATCACTAGTGAAGGAAGAGGGAAGCAGACAGAAAAAAAACACATGATTCAAGTCAAACAAGGAACAGAACTTCCCACCTTCTCATCACACACAATGCTGAATTTGATAAGCTTGGCCAATGCTTTGGGCGTGGAAAAAATCTTAGGAAACTTTCAAGAAAATAACCTTTCTACCAAATGTTTTTAAATCAACCAAACAGGATTTTATAGTGGGGGCAAAATTTTCTATTAAATTCTATAGCCTGGTTTTCTTTGCTAATTTATAAAGCCTTTCAGAATAATTTGTCATGAATCCTATATATCAAAGTCCAATAAAAGTCAACAGACTGTGCCCTTTTACCACAACATTTTTTCTTCTTCTCACCCATATTTTATCTAACAAATTGCACACACGTCATTTTAATAGAAGCTTTGCTTACAGACTGACTTGACATGTAAAATTATTGCAAACATACAGTAAGTTAAGGTTGAATTGGCTCAGATTTTCACATTAATTTCAATTCAAGTTGTTCAGGTCTCTAATTAAAGTTTTCTCTATACTTTTCCTGAGGTCCAGATGGTAAAGAGACCACTGCTATACGCTAGCACAATGCTGATAAACTTACACTTTGGTCAACTCCCACAGTTCTATTGAAAAAACTTTCTATTTCTGGTGTTGTTCTTAAATCCTCAGTTGACAGATTCATAATATTGCATAAGCATTTCAGCTTTCACTTTTTTAATAAAAAAAATAAATCTCCAGCCTTCCCGTTTGCTACAAAAAGGTTTGGGCATATAAAGCAAATATACCCAAAAGACAAACTAAAACAAACTCCCCCCAAAATAAATCTCCACACGCTTTTGCTGTTGTTTTTTAATCTCACAAGCCAGGATTTTGACTTCTTGAATGGAGGAGGCTGGAATACCAATTCCAATCGATAGTACTGAAGGACTATTGGCTACATCATTCTCCCAGTAATTCCCATCTCTTCCAACTTATACAAAGTATCAGCTCCTTATTTCAAAAAGGGTGACTTCATATCTAGCTATGACCTAACTTTTATGAAAATTTCTATACTGCTTTTCCAAGAATGCAAGTATAGCTTAATTATTTCTTGCCACTTTTCCATTAAAAATACCGGACCGAAGAACATTTAATAGGTATAAAGAGACTAGTTCCACCATAGAAAAAAAAGCAGTCTGTGTTTAATGGATCAATTTAATCCAAAAGAGTCAAAGAGATGGCCCATGGGCTAGAACCGGCTTGCAGAGCACCATCATCTGGCACTTGGTGCTTCCTATGGGTCTCAAGTTGACCTATATGCCACCTGAGGCACACACCAGACCAGCCCTGTGTGCAGGAGCCAACACACAAGCCGCACACAGCACCCTGGCCAGTTCAGGACACGCACCACACACTGCCCACTTCAGGACCTGCATTGTACGTGGCAGCCTCATGGGGCCAGTCCCACACTCATGCTGGATCCAGTGTCCACTCCAGCTGATCCTGAAGTGTGCCACACACAGCACCCACTCCAGCCAATCTGGGGTAGGCATTGCATGCAGCATGGGCCTGAACTGGCTAGAGCAGGCCCTCTGTGTGGCACAGTCCCAGACCAACCAGAGCAGACACCACAGGTACTTGATCCAGTTCGGGTGGGAGGGCAGTTCCATGCAACACACCTGGCATGCAAAGCCAGATATTTGACACCCTTGATTTGAGCAAAACATGATTAGAGTTAACAGATTCTAAACTCCATCTACAATTCTTTTTGCCGATACCTGAAACTTGCACACATTACACTATGTTATACTAGCAGATACTCCTCACTTTCTCTTCCAAAAGGAGCTAATACACTAAACCTTAAAATAGAAAAGAATCTCAGTCAGGTCAAGAAAAGCCCAGGCATTTAAGAACAGAGAAGTATTTTAAATACAAATCCACATTTCTGGGCCTGTTGGCTGCATTCAGATATAACATCCACAAAGATTTCATAAAGAAAACTGAAGTCAGTGGATCAATATCACTCCTTTGAGTCCAGCTGTATGTCAGGTCAACCCCTTTGATTTCAGTGGACATAACCAGGGATGGATCCAGATGGGGTGCAGTCACATCCCACTTTCCATAGTGTAGTTCGGCAGCTCCAATTCCCCATAGACCCAGAAGCCTGGATCCCCTGTGTAGTCCGGATCATGGGAGCAGCAACCAGGGACTTTAAGTCCTGGGAACAGCAAGGAATCCCACTATCTCAGCACCCCCTCCCTTTCTATCTCTGTTCAGTAGCACTTTCCCTCTGCCCTCTCTACTTAGGCCTCTGGTTGCAGGAAGGAGAGGTCTGCCAGCTGCTGTCTCTGTCCCAGACTGACCAGGGGGCAGGGGAATCCCAGAGCCACTCCTGCTCTGCTCCAGCCAGGGCTTCAGGGAGCAGCTGTGTAGGAAGCCCCACCTCCAGAGCCAGGGCTGCAAGGAACAGCTACATGGAGAGCCGGGCTCTACTAGGGACAGCAGCAGCAGGGGCAGCAGGTGGGTTCCCTCTCCCTGCTGGTCTCCCCAGGTGTTCCCTGCCAGTTTGGAAGCAGCCAAGAGAATCAATTTGCCACCACCACTGTCCCTGGATCCCTGGCTGAAGCAAGACAGGAGAGGCTGGGACAGCTGCCTCAATGAGTGGTCCTCCCCTTCCTGCACCTAGAGGTATAAGTAGAGAGGAAGAGTGGGGAATGGGAGGGCAGGGGAGGAGGTGTTACTAAGTGGGCTGGAAAAGGAAGGGCTACCAACAGCAGGGGGGCGTTCTTTCTAGCTTCAGGGACTTAAATAAAGATGCAGGCTGCTCTTCCTATGGTGGGGTCTCCATGCCCTGGTGCAGAGGTGGAAGAAGCTGGAAACGGGTGCAGCCACCCCTGCAGTGCTGGTTGCTGCTTCTGCACTGCCCTTTCAAAATCTTGGATCTGCCTATGGAGATACCCCATTGTAAAAGTGGGGTCACACAACTGACTTACAACGTGCAGTGGATTTGTAAAGGCCTATGCTATCTCCAACAGCTAAACCTTTAAAGAGCCTTTACTGACTTTTTGTGAAGGTCACTTCTATTGAAATTAGTGGGAGTTTGTTTGAATAAAGACCCAGTAAATAATCACAAGTCTAACCTAAGTTTTGTATACTATTACTGATTTGACCAAAAAAGAAAAAAAATGGGGAGAGGGGACAAATTAGGGCTGTATAAACAGCTGATTTTCTATTCCATTTTGGTTCAGCCCACAACTCAGATCTGAGCCTTATTTTGGGAGGGATGGAGGAAGGTGGAGAAACAGAAGTTGTGGGGGGTCTGCCATACAGAAATCTGATATTGTATCACTCACCGCGAATTTGACTTGGCAGCTGTCCTCCCCCAGGTAACACAGGTCCCCAGAAACATTGGTCTCCAGCCACAGATGTTCTCCATTCACCGCATTTTCCTAAGAAGAGATGTTAAATTGGTCTGTGGAGCAGTTTATGCACCTGTCAGATTGTTCCACTGCAGAAAACTATCACGCAACAGTGTGTTATGACTGACTTTCTGCTAATAAGAAAACCAAGATCAGGACTGTTTTGACTAAGCATTACAGAAGACTCCACATTGAACATCTTCCCACAGTAGTTTAGCTCATACAATCAGTTCCTCTCTTTCATGAGTATGAAATTTACAAACAATATTTAAAATAAAAGACAATATCACTAAACTCTTAGCTGATGTAAGTGTAGGGAGATGAGAATTTGAGGGACAGAGAGGCCTAGATAGGTAGAAATAATTAAACAAGCTTGCCCAAAAATTCTTTTGACATAGGCCACAAACACAACAGATGGGCAAAAGGAATCAGGACCTTCATTGCCCCTAAAAATCAAGCTGGTGTATTCGTGGTTAACTGGGTGATTCAGAGAGAACACATCTGAATCATCCAAAACGCTTTGAGAAGCACGTGGGCTCCCCTTGAAAATCCATATGTACTGATAAAGCTTGACCCTTGTTACTGACAAAATCTCAACCCCAGAAGATGTGGTTTCAGATTGATTACAGTTTCCATCCTACTGTAATGTTGGCTTAATAGCAAAAATCATAAAATTACCATACCATATTTGAGCAAAGCGAATAAATAGAAATCTTGCTCAACCCAAATTAGAGCATGATGGAAAATGCATCGACAGTCTCTGACATTCGGTTCCCACATTGCAAAGTCACAAATGATGATGATTTCCAACCAGATGGCATTTGACAGCAGGATGCTTAGAAATAGCCATTTTGGTTAAAATCATTTATTTTAAATACCCTTGACAGTTTTAATGTGTTGAAATGCATTTTTTTTTTCCTCTCACCATGAGGATTTTTCAGGTACAGCTTTTTTAAAAGAGAAATGTAGCAGACAGATTTTTTTTTATTCCTCCAATACAAATGCATTCACAATAACCAGATCAATATTAATTCGCATTTAAAGAATGTAAGCATCTATCAGTAGTGTGGGGTTGATTTACAGTAAGACAGTAGGTCAAAATCCTGAAAGGAAAGTGGAAGAAAAGGGTAGTATTTTATGGTGATAGGTCCACATGTCCATATTTAGCTGCATAACTATAAAATAAACAGCCTACAAAAGTCAGAAAACTTTTGGATAACATTACATCCAATATCATCCCCAACATGTGAGTCAAGAAATGTAGATTCTATTTCACTGTCACAACATACTTTATGACTTTGGGTAAGTAATTTCACCTTTCTGAGCCTCTCTTTCCTTTTCTACCTTTTGTCTACTTTATCCATGTAAAATATGAACTTATTAGAGCAGGGACTGTCTTGATCTATATCAAGGGTTGTCAAACCCCGGCACTCGTGCCAGAGCATAGCAAGCAAAGGCATTTTCCTTGGCACCTCCCCACCACCTCCCAGAAGTAGCCGGGCTTCTGGTATTCTGATGACGGTGATTATCTCTCCATCCTGCAATGCCTGAAATTCAATTCCCTGCCCAGTTTATGGGGAACTAAATGAAACAATGAGACAACAGAACAGGTGATGTTTCCACACTGGATAAGTAGAAATTTGTCAAAGGCAGTATTCTAATGAGACGCTTTCCTTACTAAAGTAACTAATGGCAAACAACAAATCATGGTTCATATGATGACCTAGATTATAAATCTACATCATGTTGATTATAAAAGCATGTGCTTTGGGAGAATAAGTTTAGCAAGCCAGGCAAGAAAGCACACAGCTCCTGGGACATGATTTTTAATCAGGAATCAGAAGTCCATAAAAAGAAGCAAAATAGATTAAAACCTTTTTTCATTCACATTGTTTCCCCATGACTTTCTAGTCAAGGTTTCTAAAGATAAAGTGGCCTATTTCCATAACCCAGTTAAGACCAATTTAGATTTTGTTCTTTGTTGTTCCTGAATGGGTCAGAGATTCATATGGCCTGAATTTATAATAGAAGTATAAATTTAAAAACTGGACTCTTTTGCATTTTATAGACTGTATTATACCAAAATATGGATTGGGTGGTCATAATGATACCTTCTGACATTAAAATTTGGTTCCCTTGTGTCTTGTGGGGTCATTTAAATCTTAGCAAAATGGATATATAATGTTACCATTCTGACCTGGAAGCATTTATACCCACTTTGGCACTCACTTTCCACTGGCATAACTGACTTCACAACAGAGTTGGTCAAAGCTCTTGAAGTTCTACCAGATATTTCAACATTCCACATTTTCCTTTAATCCTGAATCAGAACAAAATGTTGAAATTTCCTGTGAAACAAAATTTCCAAAAATAATTGAAACTTGATTGAAATTATCTTACTGAACCATTTTCTTTCAATAAGGTCAAAAAGTATCATGTTGACTTTATCTTGTTGACTTTTATACTATATAACATAACATCTCATAAACTGTAGTAAAATATAATACAAAAGTTGGCAGGATAAAGTGAACAAAAGTGCTTTGACTTTATTCAAACAAAATGTTTCAATCCCATCTTTTCATAAATTTGGACAAGAATTTTGTGTTCCTGAAATACATTCTGATTTCAACAGATCAGCATCCCTGCCTAAAAATTTGCAGCTGGGCCTTTTCCATAAGAGTCAGGACAATAAAAACAAAATCAGACCCATAGATTATAAAACTAAAAGGTACCAATATGTTTATCTATCCCAACCTTCTGCATAAGATAGACCACAAAGGACAGCAGAGTCCAAATTACTATACTTCTACACACAGATATTTTTATCCTGAAGATTGATTCAAGCAGACTCTTAATTATTTGTCTTGTTTGAGCTGTTTTGTATTTGCTGATTTGGGCTGGCTTGGTTCATATAACAATAAAAGAAATGCCATAGTGGGTCAGACCACATGTATCTGGTCTCTCACAGTGGTACAGAGTGCATGCTAATGGAAAGAGTATGTAAACTGGGCATATCCATGTCAATCTGTCCTGTCCCTCTTCCCCAACAATGTCCAACATTCAAAGTTTAGCATACGTATCTTCACTCTGAATGGATAACACGTGGGAATAAGGCAGGAATAAATTCTACTTACAATTTGGGAAAAGGCAAAAACCTCCTGTTTAATATTTGGTTGTTTGGTGTTTACGCATCATTGTGCAAAGAAAGTTGGAGCTCTGCTTTGTCCATAGTAGGTATATGGAATTTGTATCTGTAAGGATCTTTTTTACTTATCCTGTAAATGGAGAGAAAATCCCGACCCCCCTCCACACACTGTAGCAGAGGTAGCTGCTACTGTTGTGACAGATACCTGCTGCTCCACTTCCTCAGGTGAGCGCCTTCCACTTGTTTGCTCTTGTTCTGTACTACCGACATAGAAAGCAAGGTTCTTTTTAGCATGCAGATTGTTTTTTGCATATGGGAAAACACAGTGCATGTTCTGCTCCAAGGTTAATGCAAACATAGATTCACAGAGCAGAGTTTAAGGGCAATATCATAATTATATGTATTTGACCATAACCACTGTTCACATTTTTCAACTTGCTAAATTTGGTTTGTGCCTTAAGAGGTACCCCAAAATGCTGAAGGAAACAAAGCAGGCATTACTGTTTTCCTAAAGTCCTTTGGCTACTTCCACAAGCTGCAGCCAGAATGGTTTCAAAGGCAATGCAAACTAGCCTGTGTCATTTAATTTGTGGCATCAAGCAGCCGTGGATATTCAGCCAATCGGATCATCCAGCTGGCTGAACATTCAATTCAAAATGAGATATAACATGGCCTGTAACCATGAGAATGGAGCTTTCCCATCAGGGATGAACTTTCATATTATTATAAAAGGATTTCTAAATAAACCATTTAAAGGGGGGGAAAATGTTCAAATATATGAGGCAGATAAATTAAGCCAACTATCAAATCAGCCCTATCATGACATCATGAAATAAACATACAGAAATTATTTGTGTACATCTCAGTTTATAATTCTAGATTAAATTAAATCAATTTTTAAAAATCCATTTTTTTTCCATTTTTCCTTTTTCATAGTGTCAATACCTGGCAGAGATAAAGTTGTTTGGGTGCACTGGCTGCTCCTTTTTATCTTGCCATATTTAACTCTTATCTTTGGCTTCTTCTAGTTAGGGACAGTTACAAAGCCCCTGCTTACCCTTAAACTGCTGATATGTATTCTCAGCCTTATCTCCATTTTCACAGTTTTTGTTTGGGAATTTACATTAGAAAACAAAACAAAAACCAGTTACAAATGTCATATGTGATTAAAAAAGAAACCCAAAGCTGTGTTACCATATGAAATATTTAATAATTTGAAGATATGTTGTATCCACCTTAAACAACTATTTTAATTTTAACTTTTAGGGCCAGATCCATCAAGATGCTGTGGCTGCTTCCCTTCACTACAGAGCAATTCAACACAGCCACAGCTGTGAAGGTTGAATTCCCTGTCCTTTGTCACACATATCAGTCTTCATACACATATACAATCATAGAATAATAGAAAATGAGGGCTGCAAGGGACCTCAGGAGGTCATGTAGTCCAACCCCCTGCTCAAAGCAGGACCATCCCCAACTAGATCATCCCAGCCAAGGCTTTGTCTAGCAGGGCTTTAAAAGCCTCCAAGGATAGAGATTCCACCACCTCTCTCGGTAACCTGTTCCAGTGCTTTACTACCCTCCTCATGGGAAAGTTTTTCCTAATATCTAACCTAAACTTCCCTCACTACAACTTGAGACCATTGTTCCTTGTTTTGTCATTTGCCACCACTGAGAACGGTCCAGCTCCATCCTCTTCAGAACCCCCTTCAGATAGATGAAGACTGCTATTAACCGCCCCCACCCCCCAGCCTTCTCTTCTTCAGACTAAATAAGTCCAGTTCCATCAGCTTCTCCTAGTAAGTCATGTGCCCCAACCCCCTAACCATTTTCAGTGCTCTCTCTTAGGCTCTCTCCAATTTGTCTACCTCCTTTTTGTAGTGAG